TTTTTTAATATTCTAGATGCATGTTTAACGTTTCTACTAATTAAACACAAAATTACATTCTCTAATTAATAAAAAAATAATATTAAAGTTGCATTATACAGGGTGTTTCACACAACTTTACGAGGCTTGCGCCTAATTTACGCACCCAAATATATAAAATTTACGAAACACTATATACAAAAAAATACACATTTAATTATTTAATTTTTGGAAACCCATGACAGTAGTTGTCAGTTCTCTAATCACTGTCTCATTAATAGTCATAAACTGCAGTTTTTCAGAAACAATTATCATGTGTTCTATCAAGAGACGGTATGAATATGATTCTAGTTTATCTATCTTAATCACTAACTAAAAACATTGTAATTTTGAAAGAGTGAACAAACTAGAGAAGATTATCCATTTTTTCAAAATTTGTAATCGAGTTCGTATCGGAATATGTATTACTGATTGCATTTTACAGGCGCAGTACTTGTAAAATTATGTGAAACAGCCCTGTATCTACCTAAGGGAAGTTGGTGCAACATTTTGGTTTAGAACTGTGAATACCTAATTACATGGTTCTACAAACCACCCTAGTGATTGTACGATCATTTTGAACCACACTGTATATAAAAAAATTGTTAGACACGACATTTTTTTATTTTCTTTATTTCTCGTATATCAACCTATACTTTTAATTTTTATTTTATTAAGATCCGAGGTATGACATTAAACACAAAAGACTCCTCACATGTCCTGTTTGAAAGTAAACTCAACAAAAATTGTTTTTATAAATGTTCCGCCAAAAAAATCACTGTACCTAATACATATTTTTATGTTTGAAACATTTAGATTGTTATATCAAAACCATCTGTAAAAAAATCTTTAAAACTTTTTTTTAATTTTTGGTGATTATTGATAATTAATTAGTTGATTACAAATTTACTTAGCGATTGCAAGCAATGCATTTTTTGAAAAGCTTTTCCCACAACGATTAAGGTTAAAGCAAATTTTACAAATTGTACACGTGCAGATACAAAGTTTGTTTTTTGAACCAATATTATTGTTACATCACGATCTGTTCATTAATTACTGTGACAGAAATTCATTCATTGTTTTAAAACTTCCGGTAAAAATCTTAGGTCAGTGATAGAGAATTGTTTCACTGATCCGTCATAGTCATAACAAAAGTTACTTTTTTAAAAATAAAGATGTGATCGAGTTTCCGCCGCTTCCGATAACATTTCTTTCTCACGTACTTAGTTCCCCCCAGCATGAAGTAGGTATAAAGCTATAGGAATCAAAGTCATGATTTCTTCGAATTAATAATAAAATAAATAATGCACTTGCATTTATTAGCAATTAACTTATTTATGTTGAAAAACAAAATTAGTTGTGCTGGTTTGGTATGCTTATTACTCTTCTCGTTTAATTAAATTTAATTGTTTCAAATCTGGAAATGACTAAACAATAGTTTAGTTTGACGTATGTATGTATACAGGGAGAGTGTATAGGAGCTGCATTTATTAACAGGTGTTTAAACAGAGACGAAATATTGGCAATAAGGAAATGTTCGGCGTGAACAACAACGCATTCTAATTCTGTAATGGCCTGTATAGAGAAATGAACTGAAACATGAAACTATATACCGTTATTTCATTACGTTTGATTTCTGATTTATATCGACATAAATCGAACAAATCGGATTCTTGTTCACCATCACCTTTAAGGTAACTACAAAAATGACACCAAATTGCCAAAACAAAGAGGTGCGATATGTAACCGAACCGTCTCTATCCTAATATTTATCTTATTTAACCTTTCTTATCGTGAAAAAGGGATTTCTTATCTCGACCCGACAACATAAATTATCAATAACTAATCCTGAACAGATTATAGATAGAAAACGTGTTAGATCGGTTTTACTTTTTTGGCTGCTCTCAACAGACGTTTATGAGGTGATAAATTGCTGTTTTGACGGGGTTATGGAATGATCTGTTGAAATTTCGTTTACTTATATAAGTAGATGATAGCTGAAGTGGTTGCACCTATTGGGATAATGCGTGTTTATGGGTCGTTAAAATAAACATTTCAACAGCGATATTAAATTAATTGGTATATACCGGGGTTATGGATAATCAAGGGTTGTAAAGATAGTTTCACACATATTAAAATCTCTTAAAATTAAAATAAATTTGGCAACCCCTCAAATTCGATAAAGAATTTTTTATTTCCGTTCTAAAAAAAAAAAAAACTATTATTAAGCTTGTTCATAATTTCATAAATTTTTATATAAATTATAAATGCAAATCTCTTTATTATACTCGTTTGTTCAATAATTTTTATAAAA